GCTTAGTTGGGTTTGCTGATGCTGATTGGGGATCAGACAAACAGGACCGAAAGTCTTATACGGGCTATGTCTTCAAGCTTTCTGGGGGTTGCGTTTCTTGGAAAAGTTGTAAGCAGCGAACAGTGGCCGTATCAACCACAGAAGCGGAATATATGGCTCTTAGTGATGGCACAAAAGAGGCTATATATTTGCAAAATCTTTTGTTTGATTTGACTGGAAAATTGGATTGTACAGTTATACATAATGATAATCAGAGTGCCCAAAAATTGGCAAATAATCCAGTTTCTCACGATAGATCAAAACATATAGATGTCAGATATCATTTCTTAAGGGATGCTCTCGCAGAAAAGAAAATTGATTTATAGTATTTTACATTATTAGCCAGGTAAAACAGTTTTTACTGGTGATTGAAGGAAATGACTAGCGAGCCGTCAGGCGAGCTTGTCACCTTCAAGAGCCAGTAAAAACTGATACCTGGCGTATGATGTACAATAATTTATTTGTTACTCATTTGTAAACAATAAATAAAAAATTAATGCATAAGTAAAACAATTTTGAAATTTATAATTTTTTCCTTAATTTTTTTGTCATGCAAGCCTTGGTTGTTGATTGTTTGTATAACTATGACCACGGGGCGTTGTTAAGGTCGTTGTTTATAAATAAGTTGTCAAAGTTTTGTCAAATAAGTTTGCTTTGAGTTTGATGACAAATTTGCTTTTCGCATTTTTTTCTTCGAAAAATGAGTGTACCAGAAGCCATTATCAAAGAAGCCGCAGTTGTAGCAAATAGCTTATTACCAGAGAAGTCTTCAAAAAGGTACGAGCAAGAATATACAAATTTCAAAACTTGGCAAGAAAAGAATACCGTAGTTGGTGTGACAGAGGATGTTTTACTAACTTATATTAACCAACTTGCTAAAAGATTCAAACCTAATAGCTTATGGTCAAAATGGTCAATGTTGAAAAGCTGTCTGCAAATTAAAGAAAATATTCCAGTTGACAGGTTTGTTTTTCTTTGGTCAGAATTACCAAAATAACTAATTTTTTGTTTGTTTTGTAGATATAATAAAATTTTGGCTTTTTTAAAGAGGAAGAGCGAAAATTATGTCCCGAAAAAGGCAAAAGTATTAACTAAGGAGCAAGTTGAACAGTTTATTATAGAAGCTCCTGACGAAAATTGGTTGTTATGCAAGGTTATCACCATTTTCGGAATCTTTGGTACTTGCCGATGTGACGAGCTGCTGTCTTTAACCCTGAACGATGTGGAGGATGCTGGAAAATACATTATCGTCAATTTGAGAAATACAAAGAATCATACCAGTAGAAGATTCACTATAACGGACGATGACTGCAGCTTTCAGCCCTGCAATTTATATCGAAAATACGCAGCTCTTCGCCCTGTTAATGCAGAAAATTTGCGCCTGTTCTTAACATATCGCAACTTTAAATGTATCGCACTTAACGCTGGCCAGCATACTATCGGCGGCGTTCCCAAAAAAATTGCGGAATATTTGGAGTTACCTGAGCCGGAATTATATACTGGTCACTCTTTCCGTCGATCTGGGGCCACCATGGTTGTAAATGCAGGCGGTGATATTTTAACTTTGAAACGTGCCGGTGGTTGGAAGTCCAGTACGATTGCTGAAAGTTACGTGGAGGACTCCATCAATAAAAAAATTGAAATTTCGAAGAAAATGTTTCCCGCATCAGAAAGCTCAATAAATTCAACTGATTCATTTGAGGATTCAGTAGCAGATAAAACTATGTTAACCCATTCACCATCTACAAAATTTAATATCACCGGAAACCAAAATTGTAAATTTATTTTTAATATGTATTCGTCAAACAAAACTGAGTTTTCCAAAATAAATAATTCTACTGACCCTACTGACTTGTAAAAAGTTTTTACAGTTTAGCTGTCAATTTTACAAGTCAGTAGAGCCAGTAACTGGTAAAAATCAATTTTCGTTGTTTATGTTGTTAACATAAACAACGAAAATTGATTTTTACCAGTTACTGGCTCTACTGACTTGTAAAATTGACAGCTAAACTGTAAAAACTTTTTACAAGTCAGTAGGGTCAGTAGAATTATTTATTAAAATTGTATTACCTATGTATTAATTTTTTATTTATTGTTTACAAATGAGTAACAAATAAATTATTGTACATCATACGCCAGGTATCAGTTTTTACTGGCTCTTGAAGGTGACAAGCTCGCCTGGCGGCTCGCTAGTCATTTCCTTCAATCGCCAGTAAAAACTGTTTTACCTGGCTAATAATGTAAAATACTATTACCCACTGATGAGATGATAGCGGACATCTTGATAAAGCCTTTACAAAATATTAAGAATGCCCAATTTCGGAAAGGTTTAGGTTTAATTAGTAATAAATTTTGTATCTCTATTGTTTGTGAATTTATGATAAGTGGGGGTGTTGAGAATATCAGAAATTCACAATGTAATACAAGTAGTGACATCTAGATATTCTGGGATGTATGAGATTATTATTTGTTGTCTCTCTCTTCTTGTACCTGTCAGTTAAAAAAAAAAAATCAATAAACTACAGTTCTAACGTTGCATCATAATCGTGACACGCTTGTTTTATTTTCCTTGTCCCAGTCCAGTGTTTTTCCGGAATTCTTTCAGGATCTTTTCCAATTTTAACAACATTTTTTAATCATAAAAATTAAGGGGGAAGTGTAAAACTAATTTTACACTTTCCCGAAAACGAAATATACACTTTCCCCGAGGTCACTTTGGAGTGGGGTAAGTGTAAATCTGACTAAGATACAAAAGTTGAAGTAAATTAAGCCAAAATAAATATGTGTAGGACAAAACTGATCAAAGGAAATACACAAATGCAATTTTTCTTAATCTATTTCAAAAATTCTTAAGTAGGCCTCACACGGTCAATAACATTGTCAATATATTGTCAATATCATAATAAAGTCCTCATACGATCAATATTTGTATCAATACTTAGTTTGTGAGCCAATTTTCGAAATAGAAACATGAAACGTAAAGCGTGTATAGCTGTTATTTTGGCGCACATTGCAAGTAAAATTAATAAGAAAAAAATTAAAAAAAGACGTTGGGTGAAAGATTGGATTTTAGAGAGGCAAAGATTTACTCACGTAAATCTTCTAGATTATATCAAGGAAGCAGAACCTAATGATTTTAAGAACTACCTCAGGATGAACTCCGAAACATACCAAGAACTGCTGGATATGGTTACTCCATATATTGAAAAAAAAAATACGAATATGCGACAAGCAATATCAGCTCATGAAAGGCTGTCTGTGTGTCTAAGATTTTTGGCAACAGGAAGATCTTTTGAAGATCTAAAATTTTCAACATTGATTTCTCCAACAACAACCAGCGAAATAATAATGGAAACCTGTGAAGCAATAATTTGTGTTTTAAAGGACTTTATTAAGGTAAGCAAAATATGGATTACAAATAAATCTTATTTCCTACTTATTCAACATATAGTTAACGTAATATAAAAAGAAATATAGTTATATTATTATAAACCTAAATTCGAAAGGTGTTATAAAAATTTTGTAATGACTGATTCTGTGTGAATTCAGAAGTTTGCTGTGGTTGTGTTCCTGAATCTTCAAGATTTTGATATTGGGGTGATGGTAGAGGTGTCGAAACAGTTGAATAACCCATGCTGTGGCTGGTGGACGGTGTCCAGCTTTGAGCCGATATGGCACGTATTGGAGACATATAATGTGAAGAATTAATTTTTACGGAGTCTCTCTGAAGAGTACCCAATCTTGCTTCGAACAACATATCGTTAATGGCTTTTTCGGCAAATAGTTTTTGGTTAGGTTCCAAGGCCTTTAATTTGTTTGCCCAAACTTGGGCGATGTAATGTTCTTCATCCTTTTCGGAACTCTTCTCATCCTTTGCTAGATAGTTGCATGCAATAGATAATAACTCGCCTTCTTGTGTTTTTTTTTGCGTTTGTTTTGTCCTTTTTGCTGATTGTGCAGAAGGGAGGTTTTGATCTTCTGATTCGATCTGAAAATAAAACAGTTTTTTATTTTTTTTGCAGATTCCATTAAAAGAAGAGGAGTGGAAACAAGTTGCTTCAGAATTTGGCAAAAAATGGAATTTTTGGAATTGCCTGGGCACTTTAGACGGCAAGCACATTGCTATTATTAAACCACGGAATGCTGGGTCCAGGTATTTCAACTATAAAGGTTATCATAGTGTGGTATTGATGGCCATTGTAAATGCCAATTATGAATTCCTGATGGTTGACGTTGGAACAAATGGTAGAGTATCAGATGGTGGCGTGGTTTACAATACAAAATTTTGGGAGTTGCTACAAAATAATAAGTTAAATATTCCCAAACCTTCAAAATTACCAGATACAGATGTGAGTTGCCCTTATGTATTTGTTGGAGATGATGCTTTTGCGTTGGGTACCAATTTAATGAAACCATATAATCGAGAACACGCCACGAAATCTGAACGCATTTTTAACTACCGACTCTCTAGAGCTCGAAGAGTAGTGGAGAACGCCTTTGGAATTCTTCGTACAAGATTTAGAATCTTTGAAAAACCCATATATTTATCTCCGGAAAAAGTCTCTACTGTTACGTTGGCATGTTGCTATCTACATAATTTTTTAATGCGTAAAGCCTCCAAGAATTATTGCACAAATAATATTTTAATAACAGAAGACTTGGCTACAGGGCTCTGTGAAGTTGGAAGTGAAAGATCACAAACGGAGCTGACACCCCTTCAAAGAGGCACGTTTAGAAAATCTCCCAAAAATGCAAAAGAAGTCAGAGATACCTACCGAAATTACTTCAACAACGAGGGCCAAATACCTTGGCAGAATAATGTTGTTTAGTAAATAGAATAGGGTTAAGAATAATGTGTAACAACAAAAAATAAAATAAAATAATAATAAAAACAAGGCAAACAATTTTTGTTTAAAAGTGATGTTTTTTGTTGTCCCATAATATAAATAAAATATGCTTACCGTAATTTTTTCAGGCACAGTAGATCTGGTGTTATCTAGCTTTTCCACGTTTAAAAATTGAAGTTCCAAAAATATCCATGAAGTGGGCTCATAAATGTCATCAGTGGAACTTCCTGTTCTCTGAGAATCCTTGATTTTTTTAAGGTCTTTTCGATAGTTTGTTCTCAACGAATTAATTTTCTTTTTCACATCCTCAATTGTAGCCCGTTTTTTAATTTTCTGGTATATTTCTACTAGCTGTTTATAGCACTTATTTTTTTTATCTCTGTCGGAATACTCCTTCAATGACGTATTCCAAAGTATCGGATTTTGTCTATACACACTGATAAAAGTCTTTAATACTTCGCGCTCATTATGTTCGTCTGTTTTCGTATCGTCTATTGACTCTGCCGGTGATACCGGAGATAGCGGCGACGTCTCTTCGTTTATGACCACAGAGCAACTGACACAAATATTGTCAATATGGCCCTCGAACGATCAAAATATTGTCAATTCGCCAATAAATTTTCGGGATCGTGAAAAACCTTCAATATATTGACAATATTAAAATGTGTCTCCTCGAATGGTCAATATTATTGTCAATATCGTCGTCAATATCGCAAATATTGACAATAATATTGACCGGGTGAGGCCCGCTTTACCGGCACAAAATTATGTAAACAAACACACACAGCGCGAGCACCGAACCGTTTAGCAGTTAGAGTAGTTTCAGTATGGTGGGGTAGCAAAGGTCGCGCGCAACTGGTGAAAAATGACTAATGCGCGTTCGTCTGGATCTAGGGCATAGGCAACCAGTGATACAATGTTGAAAATTCTTTGATCATTGACCGTGGCGGCCGCTTTTACTCTTACCCCATTTTTACTCTTACCCCGGTCTACCCTATATAAAAAATCTCTCCCAGTCCTAGGTCCTTAGGAATTGTTCCCAGGACTGCTGCAGCGTTTCCTCTTTGAACAGCCAAGCTAACGCTTTGAATAATGAAACTATGAGCAAATTCACTTTTTATTTTTGAAGAAATATCACTGATGAATTTGTTCGCTTCATGTCCCCAAGGTCCGAAAGTTTCAATAAAGCGGTCTGTGAGCTCCTTATATTTAAGATTTTTTGATAATTCACCAATGTGTGCTACAGAACCGGCCTTTACAGATGATTTAATAATAAACTGGTGGACAGTTGCTTTGCAACATGGAAAATTTTACCCAAATTCAAATCTCGATATTTGCGGAACGGAAAGAGATATCGGGTTGCGGTATTCGAGAGGTTCTTGACCAACTCTTTGAGAACACGCACAAGGTTTGACCGGTATATTTGTTTCGTTTCATTTATCCACTTATACAGGGTGAGTAAAGGAAATCATGGTTTTTTAGATTCTCAATTTTTGATCTTGGAATTTTTTTTATGCATCTTTTAGATCTTTGGACTATCCCAAAAAAAGTAATTTCTCAAATTTTTCGAAAGTTGGCTATAACGCAAATTATCGAATTTTTAAAAAGCGGTTACATTTTTCCCTAAAAAAGTGACTTTTTCGGGGTTTCGCTTGGGAATGAGTATTTTTTCTTATACTTTTGCATGGAGTGGAATTTCTTGGCCCCGAGAAAAGATTGAAGGACTCATTGAAGGTATTACCTACAGTAGCGTGCAGAAAAAATTTGCTTAGTAGATAGTCAAAGATACCCCCTTTGACTATAAAATTCCGACCATAATCTCAATCTTTCATTCTTGACACGTGGTGGATGCTCCGTCGTTGACACAAAGGTGGATGCGCCACCATGGCCCCATCTTCTCGACAGACGCGATGGGACCCGCTCCAGCGGGGCTCTGCCCCCCAAAAAGGGGGCCCCCCGGATTTTATTATGGGTACCAGAAAAAAAGGAGGGAGAAAAACGTCACCTGTCATCTGTCAAACGTCATCTGTCACCTGTCATGACGTCATAGTGGGAGAGTGTGGTGAATTCTTGCAATTGATCGACAGGAATGGTGCAAAATTACAGGTTCCTGTAATATGGAGTTTGCGTGGAAGGGATTGTTTTGAGTCGTTTCGAAATCGCTACGTATATGTAATTATGGTTCGGGGAATCACAGGTTCCTGTAATATGGAGTTTGCGTGGAAGGGATTGTTCCGAATCGTTTCGAAATCGCTACGTATATTTAATTATGGTTCGGGTTCTGTGATGACGTCATAGCGACCTGGGTCACGTCCGTGGCGCCATTTAGAGTACATAGTGCGAAGTTGGATTTATGGTTCGGGTTCTGTGATGACGTAATAGCAACCTGGGTTAGTCTGTGTGTCAGTGTCACGATCTAGTGTAGTATCAAGTTTGTTGTGTCGTATAACAGGATGCTGTCGAAAAAATAAAAATCAAATACAATAATTATTGAACTGTTTATTAAAACATTATAGTTTAATAAAATAGATACAATTATTAGTGACCTTATTGATTAAATGATATAATATATACATAATAATATGAGTTAAAGAGAGAGAGATAGATTAATACATTATTTCAAATATACAAACAATTATTATTATTGACCTTATAAATTAATTGACAAAGTAGATACATATACGAGTTAGAGAAAGAAAGAGATTGAGAGCCAGATTATTATATTATTTTTTAAGAATACAGTACTGAGAGATAATGACTTTTAGAATACAAATGAAACTTCAAGCGTCTGAGTCAGTTTCTGTCTCATTCCACCCTTCAAAACGAATTTTTTTATTGCCACGCCCTGATATAGTGGAATGCATTATTCTATGACAATATTCTTCATCCAACAGCGTAAACAATAATTCGGAATAGCAGCTTTGACACCAATAAGAATTATTTTGATATACATTTGAAATAAGATCGCAACTGTTGCGAACTTCATAATAATATTTTCGTTTAATAGAAAATCTAATGGACAAACTACTCATTTTTTGAAGAAACCTCTGAAAGCCATTTCGGCAGGAACTACAGACATATAATTTATTAAACCCATGATGATAATGATCCTCAATTTTGAAATAATGAAACCACAAACAATATTTTTCTTCATCGAATATGTAATCCCAGTTGTTTGTACCCAAAATTATATTTCGCTCAGAGGTAGATACATATTTGTCTCCCCATGTTAATAAAGGTATTAAGGGTTATTCCACCATATTGTTATTATTAGTATTATTATTATTATGAGCCAGTTGGCATATGTGGTCCCAGCGAAACTTTGCATATTTTTGGATAATTTGTCTAACTAAAATTTGTGGTAGATGTACAGTATTCAAGAATGTTGTTAGGTTAGAGCCATTTGCACATACTGAAGTGACACACAAGTCACTAAGCAAATCGATGCTGCTGCTGCTCATCATCTGTAAGAGACAGAGAAAACATCACTCAACATAACAATGCTTTTAATTCGTCACCAACAGCAAGACTATAATGCCCCCAGGGAAGAGTATCGAAGGAATTGGGCACTAAGAAACGTTTATCGTCAGCTGGGCTTAGTGCAATTTTTGATTGTTCAATGCTGAACACATTATGTTGAAAAGACCGGATGGTTCTCTGCGTTACGGTACTTTCTTTGAAATTTTTCAAACAATCAACGTCAAATGCAATTTTATACTTGACTATATTTTTTTTGACGGCTTTCGATTTTTTCACAACTTTTCCCTTAAGGGTCTTGAAGCTGTACATTTTGGATCTCAAGCCTACTTGGTGAGTCATAATATCACCATTCAGTTCATCTTTCATTAAAACTGAAACCTTTTTATTGACCTGCGGTATGTTATATGGGTTATCTGGAGGGTAGTCTGATGTATCGAATTTAGACAAGTCGGCTTTGATGACTTCTTCATATACATACATCATCGGTTTCGATGTCATATATAAAGCTGTCGGTATCCATATATTGAATGTGACATTTTTCTGAATCTAATTTGGACAACATGTAGTCGTAGTGAAATGAATACATGAATATTTTCGAAATATCCAAAATCGACATGCCTACATACAATGGTTTGTAGAAAAATAGTTTGGCTTTCTTCAACTCAACCAACAATAAATCATCATCTAAGGTGGTTCTACTATGAAATCTTGGACTAGATATAAAATTTTTTGCACCATACCGCCCTTCCCACGTCTTTACAAATTTAATAGTCTTATTAGTCCGCGTTATTGAACAATTTTAAAAGATTTTTGTCAAAGTCATTGTTACTCTGTTTACGGAAGTTATTGTTGTGCTCGATATAGGGCTTGAGCCACATTGACTGCCTACATTTTAAAATCTTGTGAATTTTCTTCAGAACTAAGCCATGTTTCAGTGCCTGTTTTGATTTTCGATAATGTATAACATAGTTTTTCTTGTCGTACAGCGTGGTCATTAATTTCGGTAACTTTGAATTTGGCGGCTTACGATGTTCTGCCGCGAATGGTAAATCTTTATGCAAATCATGTAAATGCCTAGGATATTCCAAATCTACTTCCAGGATGTAGCCCTCTGGATAATCGTCTTCCACTGCCATAACATCAAAATTTTTAATATTGTCGTCTCCGTCTATCCACTCAAAACCACCGTAGGGTAGAGGCTCGGTCATTGCTTTTCCATATAAATTATTCATGTCGAGATAGAGCAAATACCTTGATTCTTTTGACACATCATATGTATCCATATATTTGTTATTGGCCTCAGCATAGCGATTCACGCATACGGAAATGCCTCCACGAATTCCCTGTTCCACAAACATTATCTGATCAATGTCCCGAAGAATATCCAAACGACATTTTGTGAATTGGAGCATGCTGTCCCAAGTATAACCAGGCATGCTGTGATACCACGCTGGATCTAGTTTGTGTGTAGCTATACAGTTTTTACGAAAATTTTCAAAAACATCGGCCAAAAGTAAAATGTCAGTTTTCAAATAGAGATCTGAATATTCACCTAAATTTTGAATTTTGAACAAATGCCAGACATTTTGGGCGTGAGCGAACTTTTCATCGCTTAAATGTTCATCATTTAACTTGTTGTAGAATTTATCAATGGAAGGTAGAGAAGTTTCGTTTAATACTGAAAAATCATTGATATAATCGTAACAAAAGACACCTTTCTGAGTTAATAGTTGAAATTTTGATGGCTCCAAATCTGAAAATTCTTTTTTCAATATCAGCAAGTCCTTTTTGTTCAACGTGGAGACAAGTTCGTCCAAAGAGGCACCCAAAAATCTTAGTGAATCAATGAATCTGAAACGTTCACGGGTAGGACGCTCACGTGACCATGCTTCGCAAGCTCTCGGATTACGAAATGAATATCATAGCCGGAGAGATTATGGAAAACTACTGGAACTATAAAATGCTTACGATAGTTTAGTTTGCAGGATTGGTGCGCATAATTGCGGAATTTCCCCGTAAAATGATCATGATCACGAACAATCTTATCGCTGTTTGTGAAAGGTTTCTCACAAATATGACAATGTGTCGACGACACATTGGAC